GTGATGAGAAGATAAGTTTATTTTCTATTTAAACATAAAAACAGCATTTTAATTACAACTAAAGGTGACATAGATACTTTATTATGGTATAGTATTTAAATATATAGATACTTTATTATGGTATAGTATTTAAATATATAGATACTTTATTATGGTATAGTATTTAAATGTGTGCCTGAGAAACACATAATATTGCCCCTTTAAGGCATTGGTAACCCTAACTAGCCATTAGCTCATCAGTCTGGTTACAACCAAAGTCTATCCTTTCAAATTGAGTTAAAAAAGTATTTTATTTGTTCATAATGTTTCCACAAAACCCCACATCAGAAGCTGTGAACTGTGCCTTTATATATAACAAAAWAAGGAATATTGAAGGTGGCTTTATGCTTGTGTAATTAACAGCTATTTCAGGTCCGGCGCTCCTCCAGTAATCAACCCTCTTCACACCCACTTCCCTCGGGACACGGTCGTCCCCGGTTCCTTCGCCGTGACTTTGACCTGGACTCTTCCAAACCGAACAACAGGCGCTTTCAACGTGACCAGCCCCCTCCCCGGAGACTGGTTCTTAGCTGCACATTTACCCAAGGATGAAGGCAAGATCTCCGTCAAGGTGAGCCCGAGCATTTGTCACAACCCGCCCGGCTTCCCAGAGTTCCACTGACGAACACACACTGTGAATAAATCTGTCCTGGTATTGACCCGGCAGACCAATATTGCCATCTCTGCAGCCTCGCAGTTAACTCGGCTGAAATGTAAAAAAAAAAAAAAATCCCACATCCAGCATCTGCTGTTTAAGGCAGCAAATTAAACGCTTGAGTATCTGTTATGTTGCTCATTACTCACCAGTGGTGACTGGTAACATAACTTTAATGAGATCTCCTTATTTTTTTACGGTTGTTTAACTCCCCCTTTATGGATAGAAAAATAAAAAATAAAACCGTCGCTGGGATTAGTTTTTCCAGCTTGTGGTTCGGAGCCTAAAGAGGCAGAACAGTTTCAGAGAGTTTTTCTTCATCTCATCGTGTTCTCCTATTTGGCTGGATAAACACCTGCTGATTTCCATTTCAGGCAATTTATTTGTTACTGGCATGGTGTTCTGTTGTGCTTCCTTTGTGGTTTCCACTGGCTGGCAAAAGTGCACCTAGAGTACACAACAATCAAAAATATCATCAGAAGTTACCATCGACATCAAATGTACAAAAGAATTGGTTTGCTGTGGGGGCGTRGAGGAAAAAAATAAATAAAAAAAGGCCACCGTAACTAAAATGTGAGTAGCTTGCAATGACAAACTGTATAGATGGAAATACCAAATACTGTTTATGAAGCAATTTTCAGGCAAACAAGATGCTTTCAGTTCAGAAAGGAAGCACAAATAGAAGCAATGTAAGCAGGACAGGGATGAGGCAGACTGCGTTTGGAACTATCCCAGTCGGGTTCTGAAGCTGACAAAGATTCAGCTGTTGGAAAATAAAAAAATATTCTGTTTTTACGACTTACTGATTTTTCTGGAATCTTTATGGCCAGGGATTTTCACATTTTTGTCACATTACTGACATCATTAGAGAGACTAACTGCTGAATGTGTTAAATCGTTTAATTTGAAAACTTGTAATTTTTAAARGCTGTTCAAATGACAAAAATAGCAGCTATTTTTGCACATTAAATGCTTCTTGCTGTGTTYGTTACTTTGTAAATGAAACATTTCCYTGCAGCTATATAGTTGTAAACCCCTCTATCAAACTGGAATGGACRGGTCTGGAGGTGGGGTGKAGCGCCTCCTTTGGATTTAAAGAGACAGCGTCAAAATAAGTTGATGTGAAACCTCTGAAAAGGGGTGAAAGAGGGGCTTGTGGAGTTACAATAAGGAGGATTTCAGAGCAAAGCATTGCAGTTCCACTTTTTATAGACCCCAGCTGAAGGATTTAAAAGCAGGATACTAAACAACATGTCCTGATAAAAAATACTCTCATCTCAGTATAAATTAATTGGATAAGAAATCATACAAAGTTACAAATTACTTCATTTTTTTATGTAACAGAGACTGCAATATTTCAGCTATAAAAATATAGCTATAAAACATGTTTAATTTAATAAATTTGCTCATTTTGTTTTCTATTCATATTTAAACAAGTTGTTTAAAATAATTCCTTATTTAGATGCAGGAGCTGTCTTCAGCCTGAAAAGCAATCCCATCAACCCTAAAGAGCTGCTATTACATCACGATTTTCACACCTAATTAGTTCAACTGTTTGTATTTAAGTCATTTCAGTCGATAAAGCACAATGAAAAGTTATTCCAACAATCAGCAACACAAACAAACYGCTCAGACAGGACTGTAGAGTCAAACAGAGGTAAACACAAGGCCCGGAAGCTTACGTTTATTTCAGCGCTGTTGCCATGGATTGCATGAGAACGTTCAGGCACAATCAGCGAACGGAGTGAAAACTCGACGGCGTAACCCGAAGTTGACCCCCCCCACACAAAACTACGCTCTGCCTCTGTGGGCACGTCTGAAAGAAGGAGTTAAAATAATGCAATTAGTCTGGATTTCTTTGGGGAGTCTGGGTGCTTTATGGCTCTAATTGAGTTTAAGAGGCTTTAACGGCTTGCCAAAACACAAATTATGTAGGAAACATATGAATGTCTGTATACATTTTGATATATATATAATATAGTCCAACTGGAAGCTTTCAGACACCATACAGGATGGAAGCATAGGCCTTCAAAAAGCCATTTTGAATGAGTTTTAATTAAAACACAACTTGCTTTAGAAGTCTTATAGAGGCTGAAGGGACAGGCTGCGATAAATCACAGGGTCACCCTGGCAGCTCCCAGACTAATGACACTCCATGGTAATTGTTGCTCGAGCACAAGGGGTTACTGATCAGCTGGTGGATATAAAGGATCTAATTTAGCATTCACACCTTTTTTTTCTTTTGAATCACTTTCTTTTTTTTGTCTCATTATAAACACGTTTTAGAGCTGATCGTGTCTGGTAACAATGCACCGTCTCCTGGCTTTTAAGTCATTCTCTCTGCTCGGCTCATCTCGCAGCATTAATGGATCTGAGCAGCARAAATGAAATAGTGGGTGAGCATGCTACACCGTGTGGCAGAGAGTAGGAGGACAGAGTGATATTAATCCAGCAGGCTGACAAGCTTAATGCACACGTTCCATTAGGGATTTTTTGGGCCAGTTTGAATGATATCTAATCTTCTCTTTACCCAATTTAAAGAAATGCCGGCGATTTAACCACTAAAATACTATTTAAACCACTGTTATGATATTGTTGTAGGGTCTGTCTGAGGAATGCCAGTATCTGTTCCAACCTCAGCTCATTGTCCAGAGGCTGATTGGCATTTCGGTGCTTTATCCTGGATACTTCATCGACCAGATGATCCCGGTCCACAACAGGTCTGCTCTTTACAAGTAAGTCTTCAGTATCTGTGTTTCTATTGACCATGAAAATGCGCAAATTAGAATTTCGAAAATAAATTAGCTCAATGGAAACGTGTCAATTTTGACAAAAAATTACGTTTTTCGACAAAAAGGTTTTGCGCTAGGATGAGGTGGTATTTCGGCCTTATCGAAATTGGTGTATTTTGTGAAAATGCAACGGAAACACTTTTTCGCATCACAGAAGTCACGTGATCAACAACCGGATGTTTCTGCTGGTAAAAAAGATGACGAAGAAGATAACAGGAAGTAAAAGTAGTAGTAAAATCACCGAAGTAGTAAAAGAAAGTAGGAAACTCAGCAACTACAATTTCCCAAAAACGCTCCCAAGTAGGGGCTTGTCTCTGGAAAGCCTCGATAAAAGACYCCGACGTCTCCTCTGATGATGAGCGCTAGTGTCATGGTAGCAACATGCTATGTGTTTACATCCATTGCCGCCATGTTTGTAATGACTTATCGCGAGAACAAAGGTATTCATGCGTGACTTTAATAGCATTTCTTACTTAATGGAAACACTGCAATTGCGAAACTGTATTTTTCGACATTAACAGAATATCAACAAAGTTTTGCGCACATCTGCAACGGAAACGCAGCTAGTGTGAACTTCTAAAAACCTTTGAATTTTAGAAGTGAATACCTTATTACACTCAATTTATCATGATCATAGTAATCATCAAAGCATGCATAGGGTGATGGTGGGCAGTGATAGGGAAAGTACTCAGTTTCATTTCTTAAATCAAAGTACTGATCATACTGGTCATATAATATAAGTATAATGTAAGTAAAAGTAGTAGTAGTACACACACATATAAATAAAAAAAATTCCCTTCTCACCCTCCGCGGGTGGTCTCTTTCATCCTCTGAGCTCGGGTCCTCTACCAGAGGCCTGGGAGCTTGAGGGTTCTGCGCAGTATCTTAGCTGTGCCTAGAACTGCACATTTCTGGACTGAGATGTCTGATGTTTTTCCTGGGATCTGTTTTAGCCACTGCTCCAGTTTGGGGGTGACTGCCCTAACCCAAAGACCACAGGCACCACTGTGGTCTTCACCTTCCAGGTCTTTTCCAATTCCTCTCTGAGGCCCTGGTATTTCTCCAGTTTCTCATGCTCCTTTTTCCTGATGTTGTGGTCACTTGGTATTGCGACATCCACCACACACACACACACACACACACACACACA